GGTTAAAGAGAATTTTAAAATGTAAAGTGTTTAGTATACTGCCAGATCACCTGTATATTGGAGCTGTGGTATAAAAGCAAAGAAGAAAATCATGACTGATGATTTATCTCAACATCAACACAGAACAGATGTAGCCCTAACATTATACTTTCCTAATGGAATGTTCTTCCAAATTTCTATAAACAAAATGAAGGGAGAGACAAACCAAATGGCTTTGACATGGTAGTATCACATCCTTTTGGACACAGCTCTGAACTCATTAAGGTTTTCAGTACTCGTAATTTTGGAGAAAAGGAAAACGCAAAATAAAATAATCCTCATAAATCTTATTGAGTATTTTCACATACTGTAACCTTCCTATGCTTATGACAGTAATTAGTGGCAAATTAAAATGATAAATGTAAACAGGATGCTTAAGAAAAAGCAAGATGATTGCTGTCCTTTCCTTGTTTTTGGCTAATGTTAAATTTTCTAGTATTTGGTCTTCTACCAATTTTTTTTTTATTATTTAAAAAAAGAGTTTATTTTTAAGCAGTCTCTATGCCCAACTTGGGGCTTGAACTTACAGCTCCAAGGTCAAGGGTCGCATGCTTCACTGACTGAGCCAGTCAAGTGCTCCTGCCTCTTTTTGAAAAAGGCGTTTTCTCCCTCTGGTTATTAAGGTACCATATATATGACTGAATTATAGTATGCATCACTTAGAAGGGACACATCTTTATAATTTTGTTTCTATCCCAAGATAATCACTGTTAACAGTTTGGTGTGTGTGCTCCCAAAGTTTTTCCTGGAGTGCATATGATTAAATCAACAAAGATGGAATCACACTATAATATTGTCTTTATATATATATATACACTAAGGTATATTCCCATGATGGGATAGATTGAGTCCTTTACTATTTTTAATGACTGCATATTTCATTTTCCGGAGGTACCATATTTTCTTCAATTCTCTATTATAAAATGACTGAATTATTTCCAGGTGTGTGTGTGTGTGTGTGTGTGTGTGTGTGTGTGTGTGCGTGTGTTTCAGCATTCGACATTTGCTGGATCAAAAAGAATGAACATTTAAAACTCTGATACAATTTTAGAAAGAAAAGAAAAAAAAGATACTTACAAAATTACCTTCCCTAAAGAGCCATGTATACCTTGTAACAATCTTCTTTTAATGTTGGCATTACATTTTGATGACAGCTGTATTTTAAAATCTACTGTGCTACACTTCACGTATAATTTATTTTGGATTCTTTGGAAACTGTTCTCTTAGGTACATTAAAAAAACCAAAACCAAAGTCCTGTAATACAGCACCAATGGAGAAGTTTTAGAAGCCAAGTTTTAGTTCTTATTGTCTGTGATCCCCTTGCTGACACTTATGGAACAGGCGCCATGGCGATTGGTTGCTGATACAAAGGTTCCATAATTTAAAAAACAAAACAAATAAAAAAATCCTCATCAGTTATAAACAACCCTGTAATCTTGATATGAGTCACTGTGGCTTTTTTTTCTTTCTTTCTGACATGTCTCTGAGTTCTTTTTAGAAATTCCAACCCAAACACCCAGAATTTGATTTCAGAAACCCTCTTTTGGGTTTCTGTAACTCATACAATTATATAATAACCCATAACAATGTGGGAGTTAGGGGCACTGATCTTCCCCAGTCCCCGAGTTGAAAATCTGTATATAACTTTTGACTCCTGAAAAACTTAACTACTAACAGCCTACTCTTGACTGGAAGCCTCGTGGATACAATATACAGTCACTTAACATATATTCTGTATAAGTATTTTATACTGTATTCTTATATAAAGTTAATGTTTTTAGGAAAATCATAAGAAAAAAATAAAAAAAATTAAAAAAAAAAGAAAATCATAAGGAAAATAACATTTACAGTACGTTCTTGTAACAAAATCTGCATGTAAGTGGACCCAAGCAGTTCAAACTCATGTTTGGGATCCACTCTTCTCTAGTTGATTAAGTAATACCATAAAGCTTCAGTTTTAATACAATTTTGAACTTAGTTCTGCTTCTATGTAGCTTTCCCTTTGTCCTTAACGGCACAGTAGCAACATGCTCGGCTAAAATTTTCCTCTTTCCAGACTCCCTTATAGCTATGTGTGAAGGAGACATAGTACAAGTCTCTGGGCAGGACTTCTGGGAAGGATATTCAAGGTGGCACTCAGCTGGTATGCTCTCAGCTGGTGTGGTCCTCATATTCTCCTCACTTCTTCCTGCGAAGCCCAGGGATGCAGGAGCACCTAAAGATGCGTTACATGTGGTATGTAAAAAAGGATAGCACAAGAGAATTGGAGAAGCCTTGATCGCCACTGGCCTCTTTAAATGGTTGCTCCATTCAGGGACTACTTCTAGATTCAAAAGAAAAAACAAGACCCCCAAGGTGCTGCGAATTGGGTTTTCTGTGCTTGTGGCCAAATACAATCCCAATGTAGACACAGAAACAACTGCATCTTAAAATAAAAGCCAAACACATGTAGGCTCCATTGAGATGGCACTGCAGTAACTTTATGTCCAAAGGACTCAAGGCACTTTCTGAAGTATCTAACTTATAACCTAACATACCAGGAAATACTCAGTCTCATCAGTATTTGAAACAACTCATGATAGCTATTTTTGCCAGCCAAATCACGAAAACGCCTTAAATGCTAAAAAATTGGCCAAAGAGAAAAGTGAATGTCATATAAGGATAGACAATAGAGTCCAGAAATAAACCCCTACATTTATGGTCAACTCATTTTTAACAAGAGAGACAATTCAAAAAAGGGAAAGGATAGTTTTTTCCAATGTACTGCAACAAATGGATAGCCATGTCCCAAAGAATAAAGCTGGGCCTCTGCCTCACATAATATATAAAGAGAAACTCAAAAAGGATCAAAAACCCAACTGTAAGGGCTAAGAGTATAAAACACTTAGGAAATCATTACTCAGGTGTAAAATGATGCTTTGGATATACGATAGCTTTTTAATTAAAAAATTTTTTTCCAATGCTTATTTTTGAGAGAGAGAGAAAGAGAGAGAGAGAGAGAGCACAAGCCAGGGAGGGGCAGAGAAAAAGAGAGGGAGGCACGGAATCTGAAGCAGGCTCCAGGCTCTGAGCTGTCAGGACAGAGCCCAATGTAGTGCTTGAACCCACAAACCACGAGATCATGACCTGAGCCAGAGTTGGAGGCTTAACTGAGCCACCCAGGTGTCCCTACAATAGTTTTTTAGATATAACACCAAAAGCACAAGCTACCAAAGGGGAGAAAAAACTATAGAAATGGAATTAAGTTTCTGCAAATCATGTATCTGATGAGGGTCTAGAATTCAGAATATAAATAACTCTTGCAACTCGACAACTAAAAGATAAAAAAAATCAAGTAAAAAATGGGCAAAGAATTTGCATAAGCATTTCTTCAAAGAAGATATACAAATGGGCAATATCTACATGAAAAGATGCTCAACATCATTAGTTATTAGGGAAATATATACCAAAACCACGAGTTACTGCTTCATGTCTGCTGGATGGCTATAAATAAGTCACAAGTGTTGGAGAGGGCATGGAGAAATTAGAACTCTTATTTCTTGCTATTGGAAATGTAAACCGGTGCAGCCACTGTGGAAAAAGTCTGCCAGTTCTTCAGAAAGCTAAACATAGCGTGATTCAGCAATTCCACCGGTAGGTATATAACCAAGAGAAAGGGAAACAGATCTACACAAAAATTTGTACAGTAATGTCCCTGGCAACATTGTTCCTAACAGCCCCTAAGTAGAAACAACCCAGATATTCATAAACTGATGGGTAATCAATATATATATATATATCCCATTGTGTGTGTGTATATATATATATCCCACTGTATATATATATATATATATATCCCACTGTGTATATATATATATATCCCACTGTATATATGTGTATAAATATGTGTATATATACATATATATATATGTATATATACACCATGGACATATGATGGAATATTATTCAGCCATAAAAAGGAATGGAGTATTGATACAGGCTAAAACATAGATCAATCTTGAAGACATTATGCTAAGTAAAAGAAGTCAGATAAAACAGGCGAAATACTGTTTGATCCCACTTATATGAAGTGCCAGGAGAGGCAAATTCAGAGACTGAAAGTAGAAATGAGATTACCAGGAGCTGGGTATTAGTCACCAGTGGTTTAATGGTTAGTGTTTCTGTTTGGGGTACTGACACAGCTTTGGAAATAAACAGTGGTGATGGTTGCACAGTACTGTGAACATTAAGTGCCAGTGAGCTACACACTTAAAAATGGTTGAAACGAGGCGCATGGGTGGCTCAGTCAGTTAAGCGTCTGACTCTTGATTTCAGCTCAGGTCATGATCTCACAGTTCATAGGATCGAGCTTGTGCTTGCTCTCTCTTTCAAAATAAATAAATAGACTTAAAAAAATGACTGAAATGGTAACATTATATGTTTTACCACAATAAAGAAAAAGAAAAGAGGAATGAAGTGCTGTTATTGTTGTAAATGGATGAACCTTGGAAATGTTATTCTAAGTGAAAGAAGCCAGACACAAAGGCCACGTTATATGATCCCATTATTGTGAAATGTCCAGAAAAGGCGAATCCATAGACCGAAAATAGATCAGTGGTTGCCAGAGACTGACGGGGTGGGAGGGAGGACAAGAATGGACAGGAGGGTGACCACCACTGAATTGTATACTTTATTATTTTTTAGTGTTCATTTATTTTCGAGAAAGAGAGCGCGAGCTGGGGAGGGGCAGAGAGAGAGGGAGACACAGAATCCGAAGAGGCTCCAGGCTCTCAGCTGTCAGCACAGAGCCCTATGAGGGTTTCGAACCCACAAACCATGAGATCATGACCCGAGTGGAAGTTGGATGCTTAACCGACTGAACCACCCAGGCGTGCCATGAATTGTACACTTTAAAAGATTGAATGTTATCTCAAAAGATTTTTAAGTGAATGTCAAAGATAAGCAATAAAGGTTTCTGACATGGAATGTTAGAAATTTCTTTATTATTTCCTATTCTTATTAAGCACCAGCTTAATAACGCAGAAAATTTCAAATCACCCTTCGACAACTTGTTCTTCCTCCCCAATACCCAAATTCTTGATAAAGAGCTCTTCAAGTGAAGACATGGTCTCTTCTCTCTTCTGTATAAAACTTTATCAAATAAAGGCAAAGAACTGTGTACATCTTGCTGTAAAACGCTGCCCATGGCTGTGGGAAGTGTCTGCCCAGGTTCCTTTTACTGTCCAGGTCCTGAAAGACTCTTGTTCATGAACTGTCTCTTCACAAAGCAAGTCCACCACTAACAAGAGGGGATAAAACAGTATGGATAGTAGCTGTCAAATCACCATGCAAGTTCAAGCTAAGGTCATAAATTAAATTGTTAATTTATGTAATAACAAAATGTCATCTTGGCCTGGCATCTCTTATGTTATAGACTTCTTGAAAACACACGTAAAAAAATTTTTTTGACTCACCAATCAGTCAAAATTATGGTGACAAAAAAAATGTAATACGTTCAAGATATCTCACATAGAAAATCTGCCCTATGGGTTTACAATGCCCTAACATGAGAACATAGAACCCAAACTGTTTATCATACGCAGTTCATTATTCAGTGTGGCTCACTGAACCCCTACTATGTACTAGGCACCCATTCAAAGTTAAGCAACACGGCAGTGCAGAAACTAATCTTGCAACGAAAGATCTTAGTTTATTTAATGGTAGCTACGTGGTAAAAGGTTATTTATCAACTAAATAGGTGAAAGAAGAGGGTCTTACCTTGCTAGGTTTATCATTCTGAGGGTCAAAAACTTTCTCACAAAGTCTCAGTCCAGTCTCTTGTCTCAGCTGCTGTAAGTAGGCCCTCATCATCTCTAAAATCAAGAGCCGGGAGTACAATAAGAAAAATCCTGTCTGAGAATGCATCCCCAAAGTGTGCTGGTTGCTGGTCTGGACAGTGACCTTGGCAATACATTTCTACACATTCAGACAAGATAAGAAATAGAAATGACAGTCCAAATGGTTTTATAACTATTTTGGTTCAAAAGATTCTCTACATGTTATACTTGTTGCCAAGAATCTTTGGTGAGAGTGAATGGTAAGACAGTATCTGTACTAATGATTCCACTCTCAACCTGTATACCAATCAAGATAAGGAAAGGAAGGGGTAAGAAGTCAAAGCAAGAAAATCTTGGGCCATAGAGAGGGAGGTGGAAACCCTGTTCTTACCATCTTCTTGTTTGTTTGCAGGTTTGGCATAAATTGCATTAAGTGGAAAACCAGGCTCTCCAGGAATGGGAAAATTAGTGATTCCCAGTGTATACATTTCTTTTTCACCTTGGCTTTTGGAATTGCACTTAAAAAAAAAAAAGAAAAAATTGTAGACACATATTTTACAGAGGAAAAGGATAATAATGTCCAATTTGTAATTTTTTAGTTTAAGTAGGTGTGGCTGGGATTACTAGTGTTTTTGGGTGCCTGTGGGCCCCTTCGCAGAATACTATTTTAAATGACCAAAATATACAAGATTACGAAAGAAATCATATAGTCAAACACAATAATTACAATATTAAAAAGCCAAATTAATGACATATGTGCACTTCTTTATTAATGCACTACATGACAAGATCCAGGCAAGGGGCCTAATAACTAAAATTTGAAGTAATAATGAGTGAAAATAAAATTTCAAAACATCTTCAACTCTGAATGTAATAGGGAAATGCTGTGATTTCTACTGAAGAAAAAGTCACAGATATGGCGCAGGCTACTGTGGGTTGTTGCCTACGTTAATAATTACAGTAAATGCCAAATTTCAGCTACAAGTTAGTGAAAAGAAAGACATCATCTTTTTCCCATTCAAGCTCATCAACCCTTGGATTATATATCCTTGGGCCCCAGGTTAACAACCTCTGAGCCAAGAGTTTAAAAGAAAGATTTCTGTCTTGGGAAGACACACACAATGGCTTAAAACACCACACCCTTATCTGCTCATTAGCAACTAAATTATAGGTTTATAATCCACATTCAGATTTTCCTCTCAGGTCTGGGCTCTAAGTCAGAGAAAGTATTATCTACTTGTCCTGAAAGTCTCAACAAGTCCAGACAGCTGAGTGAACATGTGTTACTGTGTTTTCCTCACAGACAATCATCCACGTTTAATTACCTTTTGGAGTTTCTTCAGACACTCAGAAATGTAAAGAGTTATATATATCAAGGTTCTATCAGCTTCATTCTGCAGGGGTGGGGTGGGGGGTAGAAACACATAAGTTACAAACAGTCCTGATGAAAACATAATGATCACATGCAATAAAAACTCAAGCTTTGTCTTTTGAGCGTCAAATGAAAACTGCAAGTAGAGTTCCTATGGCATCAAAAGTTGCCATTCTCCAACTGCAGTCTTCTCGAGCCACCTGTCTGTCCGCTCCTGGGAAGGGAGTCGCCTGTTACCATCCTGAGCTGTGTGGCTGTTCCTGTTCACCTCGGCTGCCCTCATCTCTACATCCTCCTTGCCTCTCAGTCCCTGGGAAGCTGTGCCAACAGCACCTCCCTCTGTGTAGAAGGAGAGGTACTAGAACTGCCTGGAAAATGTGAAGTGCACCATATGGTCAGCTAATTTTTAAAGTTCTTTCAGTTCAGGATCTCTGCCAAGAACAAAAGCTTTCATGACTTTAATGGAGGAAACAGCTATTTCATGTGTGCCTTGTTCTTCTTCTTTTTTTAATGTTTATTCATTTTTGAGAGACAGAGAGAGACAGAGAGACAGAGCATGAGCAGGGGAGGGGCAGAGAGAGAGGGAGACACAGAATCTGAAGCAGCTCCCGGCTGTCACCACTGAGCCTGACACGAGACTCGAACTCTGGAACCATGAGATCATGACCTGGAAGCTTAACCAACTGAGCCACCCAGGCGCCCCTTCATGTGTGCCTTGTTCTTAAAGAGCTCCATGAGCCCACCTCTTGATCTAACCAAAAGGAAAATGTGAAGACTGGATGTTGAGATGTGGTACATACTTCAGGTCAAACTGGCACAGATCTACAGTCTTAAAAACAAACAAACTACACATGTCCGTATTTTTAAGAGCATATGACATTCAGGAGAATGAGATGTGGCAGAAATACATTTATTTACACCTGTTACAAACATAACACTTAGACCATGCATTAAATACAGAAAACACTGTATCATAGGACAATTTGTAGAACAAAAGCCTACAAACCAAAAGATTTTCACACCCTGATTCCGAAAGGTCAAGGTTTGGTAAGGAGAGGTTCCATATTCTAGAATATTATCAAGAAAAGTTGTTGACATTCCTATAACTTGCTCATAGGAGGAATTCAGAAAAGTTTTTTTTAATTTATTCCATCTCCCCCTTTCCTATTCTGCCACCCTCCTTCTACCTTCCTCTTGACCTCATTCCTCCCCAAGAACTAAGGGCAGAAAGGAGAAAAGGGTAGTCGAGGGAAGGGACAGAAGCATTGAAGTTTCTTTATTTCTCCATTTCAGGTCCAAGACACAGAAGTACATAAAAATATCATATCATGTAGGATTTTTAGTTTTGGAATGGCACATAGTAGGAGATTTACTAATGCTGATAATAAATAAAAATGTGTAGATCGTGGGTTGGCAGACCTCCTTTGAAAAGGACCAGATATTAAATATTTTAGGTTTTGTGGACCAAACTTTGTCACAACTATTCAACCCAGCTGCTGTGGTGCGAAAGCCGCCATAGACAATGTATTAAAAATGTATGTGGCTGTGTTCCAATAAAACTTTATTTGTAAAAAGAGGCAGCGGGCCAGATTTGGCCCTTAGGCTGTAGTTTGCTGACCCATGGTATAGACTTTAAACTAATGTTGATATAGGGTCTAATATTAGGCACTTCTCTAGGTTTTTAAAGTCATACAATCTCATTCAATTTTATTTATTCTTCAGAATCCTAACAGCCAGGTGGATTATTATCCTCATCAGGAAACTAAATTAAATATTAAAAGCTCTGTACTTTACCTTAATCTCATAGTTTTTGAAGAAAACATTGGCCTTGAAATAATAGATGGCTTCATCCACAATATCTGTATCTTTTGCTAAGCAGGACATAAGGGGAGGAAGGCAGAGAACATTAGCCAAATGCAAAAATAACACTTTAAAAAAAGCTATACAGAAAAAAAGCCCAGCTCGATGGTCAAAAGTCTTGGAGTTGAGGGGCGCCTGGGTGGCTCCATCGGATAAGCGTCTGACATTGGCTCAGATTATGATTTCATGGTTCATGGGTTCAAACCCGTATCGAGCTCTGCACTGACTGCAGAACCTGCTTGGGATTCTCTGTCTCCTCTCTCTCTGCCCCTCCCCCACTTGCTCCCTCTTTTCAAAACAAACAAACTTAAAAATGGAGTTGAATAAAATAAAATGAGGTTACTGAGACATAAGGTCTTTAGAAACAATTTCTAGAAAAATAAGTACGTACATGGTTTATTCTTTTTTTTTAAAAAAAAAAACCTTCCTATTTTTTGGGGTACCTGGGTGGCTAAGTCGGTTAAGCGTCCGACTTCGGCTCAGGTCACAATCTCATGGTTCGTGGGTTCGAGACCCGTGTCGGGCTCTGTGCTGACAGTTATCTCAGAACCTGGAGCCTGTTTCAGATTCTGTGTCTCCCTCTCTCTGACCCTCCCCTGTTCACGCTGTCTCTCTCTCTCTCAGAAATAAATAAAACATTAAAAAATCTTGCTATTTTTAAAGTTTATTATATACAGAGAGACGGAGGAGCAGAGAGAGAGAGAAGCTCAAGCAGCCTCTGCACTGTCAGCACAAAGCCTGATGTGGGGTTTGATCTCAAGAGCTAGACGCTCAAACAACTGAGCCACCCAGGCACCCCCGTGGTTTTGTTTTTTTTTTTTAATGTTTTATTTATTTCTAGGAAAGAGAGAGAGAGAGACAGCGTGAGCAGGGGAGGGTCAGAGAGAGAGGGAGTCACAGACTGAAACAGGCTCCAGGCTCTGAGCTGGCAGTCAGCACAGAGCCCGACACAGGGCTCGAACCCACGAACCGCAAGATCATGACCTAAGCGAAAGTCGGACGCTTAACCGACTAAGCCACCCAGGCGCGCCCCCCCACCATGGTTTATTCTTATAGCTTTATTGTTTTCATAAAAAATACACTCATTAGAAACAAATTAATCAACACAAAAACATATTTTACTGTCACCCTAAATCTCACTACCTACAAATAACTATTAACATTTGTTGAACATCATTCCAGACATTTCTCAATGCATTTATAAAAACAGACTGAGACACAGACTAACTTTGATAAAATGCTATTTAAAACTAAAAAGTAGTCAATGTAATTTGATTTGAATTTACATATACTGCAGTTTCAGGGGGGAAAAGTCTCAATTGTCATTTAGAAACACACTGGGCTCAGGTATACATCTTTCTGTGAAAACTAAGACTTAAAAAATATACTTGTACAAGCTGTTTTAGGTGGTTAGAGACTGAGAAAAGCCAGGAATACTGTTGCGACAAAGACAGATCTCCTTTTACAATTTCTTTGGCAGTCTTGTTTTCCTTTTCTTATTTTAAAAAGGTCAAAATCCCAGGGTCTTGATATCCGGCAGCTGGTTGCAGAAATGCACAGACTGGTTTTTTTTTTTTTTCCAGAGATAGTTATTTATATTTCTTGTCTGTGACTGCTATCGCTCTCACACAGCAGAAATGCAAGGCGATGCTGAAGGTTGAACACTCTGTGATTCAGCTGACTTTAACACTGCTTGTTCCCTTGCTAAAGAATTTCAACAGAATTCTAACTCTAGACTCTGTTCTCCCAATCTATTTTCTTATCTGCAGAAAAGGAAACTTCCTCAGAAGATGTGGTATTGTTTACAAAACCAGCTAGTTCTCCTAAATGTAAAACTGTTGGGGGGGGGGAGTGGATTATAAAATACAGAACTTAGAAGAGTGTCTCCCACAAAAAAAAAAAGAAAAGTGTTCAAAAGGTATCTGTCCAATGTAAAAAAAATTATTTTTGGTTCTGAGAGAAAGAGAGAGAGCAAGTGGCAGGGAGAGGCAGAGGGAGAGAAAGAGAGAATCTTAAATAGACTCTACCCTCAGTGAGGAGCCTAACACGGGGCTCAATCCCTGACCTGGGATCATGACCTGAGCTGAAATGAAGAGTCGGTCGCACAACGGACTGAGCCACCCAGGTGCCCCATAAATAAATCAAATGGATTAATGCTACCTATTATTTAGCTCAGAGCACAGGCTTGTACTCCTTCCTTATTCCTGTTCAGGTCTAATCCTGTCTCCTGAGGAAAAGCTAACAGGTCATTTCCTATCTACAGAAACCACGAGAAGATCTGGTTTCCTGGGGCCCCCTTCTCCCTTAAGGGCCCATGAAATATCGCAAAGGTGGTAATTAGACATACTCTAACCCTGGCATCTTCTAATCTGCTACAGTGGTGTTTTGTAACCATCTGAAAAGGCTTCTTCTCAAGGAATCTGGGCCAACATTGACTCTTTTTTTTTTTTTATTTTTTTTATTTTTATTTATTTCTAGGAGAGAGAGAGAGAGAGAGACAGCGTGAGCAGGGGAGGGTCAGAGAGAGAGGGAGTCACAGACTGAAACAGGCTCCAGGCTCTGAGCTGGCAGTCAGCACAGAGCCCGATGCGGGGCTCGAACCCACGAACCGTGAGATCATGACCTAAGCGAAAGTCGGACGCTTAACCGACTAAGCCACCCAGGCGCCCCCAACATTGACTCTTATTCTTTCTTTGCACTGTAATTCTTTTCTTTTATACTATTTTTCTTCTTTTTCTTCATCTCAGAATCAAGTAAAACCTATTGCAACTCACCAAATTTTTTGAGTTTACTGAGCTTTCCACTGGTATTGAAAACAAAATTAAGAAGAGGTCAAGTCAAATAGTCTAGCAGAGGAATAGAGACAGGGTCAGTACAAGATTGACAATGAAAACTATGGTGGAAGAGACCTAAAATGGAAATCAGTAAGATGCTTTCTGGGTACAGGGAAACCATGTCTAATACAATACAAATCACACTGGTGGCAGAACATCTCAGAATGTGTCAGAAGAGCCTAAAAAGAATGGGGCTTTCTAAACAGTAAGACATGGTTCAAAAAAAGAGAAAGTGAGTACCAAGAAAGAAAACAAAGATCTAAAATTCAGAAAAGCAAGAGAAAGAATGTGCAATGTTATACAGGACATGTAAGATTTAAGATTGAAGTACAGCTGAAAATGAAGGTACTGAAAATGAATAAAGGAAGTAGAATTAGATGGGGGAAGGGGTTAAAAAGTTTTGTTTTGTTTTGTTTTGTTCTCCACCGGCCTGAAGACAGAGAAAGGATGGGGAGTCGTTATTCTACAGAAATAGCAGCATTAGATCACTTTGTAAGAACTGATAGTGGGATGACTGAACAGTGTCCAGAAGCACATTTCCTCTTCCCTCTCAACCAAATATCCTGGAGAACTCAGCAGCAATAATACACTTTCTTATTAGATGCAACATTTACTCTTCATCTTGGAAGGCCTGGAATGCAATATCCACCAAGCGGAGAGAAAATACAAGAGCAATATGAGACCAAGGACTGAGTTAAGACTTTGCCTGACTTGATAATGTCTGAAGATCGCTAGATGTTTCCTACTAAAATCTGAAAATAATGGAAAGAAGTTTTGACTTACTCTCTCTAGGGGCAGGTCCTTTGAACTGGCTTCTGATAGGCAACAGTGCCATGTTTCCAATGAGTTTGGTGTCAGGATCCATGAGAGAAGAGTGGTAAGCCTGTTGTGGCAAGCCAGGTAAGAATAGGCAAACAGAAAGAGTAAATGTCAGTGGGGCAGATAAGTAACATTTCTCGAGAGGGAAAAACAGTAACCCACCCAAGACTAACTAGGGAAGGGGGAAAGGGGATGGCAGCAGCCATGTTCTGGAGCTGGCTCTTTACTGGCTCATGAAAACGAGATGTAAAATTCTGAGGAGTTTTTAAAATTTAGAAGCAAGCTGGTTGTTAAACACAGCCATTACTAAAAATTATATAAATTTGCAATTAAATAAATTATATTAAAGACAAATGTAATAAGTACTGAGAATTCATTACTTCCTGTTTTTAAAAATTATTTCACTATTGGCTATGATCCTAAGGTTATCTATAACTTTTCTATCTTTGTGGTAGAAATACTATGTAATGATGTGCTACTGTGCATCTTCCAAGTTCATGTTCAGTGACATCACATTTGTAACTGGTGGGAGTATTTTTGCTACAGAGATAGGCAAACACTATGTAAATCAGGGGTACAATCCCCCTTCCCCAAGCTATTGTTAAACCAGAACCCAAGCATTGGCTTTTCAGTTCTGCCACTTCCTGGCTATGTGTTTGACCAAGACATCACTTTTCTGCTCTTAGCCTATTTCCAAATGTATAAAATGAAGAGTTATCTACTGCCTTCAGTAGATGTGTGTTAAAGGAGCAAGGGAAACCATATTTATGAAAGCAATTTGTGTGATGATTCCTAGTTCTGCCTTTTACAAGGCTTTCAGGAACACAAGAAGGGCCCCATTCATATATTCATTCATTCACCAAATGATAACCAAACACCTTCTATGTGCAAAGCATGGTGATACAATGGTAGGTAAGACCAGAACGATCTCTGTCCTTGAAGAACTTTCAACCTAATGTTGGCAGATATCAAATAAGTAATCCCAGGAAAGGTGAGGAATGAGCACAGGACTTTAAAGTCCTAGCTTAAAACCTGGCTTTACCATCAGTACACAACCTTGGGTAAGTTACCTTCTCTGAACCTCAATTTCCTCCTCTGCAAAATGGGAACAATAATGTAGCTACTTCACAGGGTTATTGTTGAGGATTAAATGGGATAATTTACATGCAGTGTGTAGCTTAGGGTCTGCCTGGCACACATGAGGAATCAAATGGTAGCTATGGGATTCATTAAATATGTAACTAAGGCTTGCACTTTTTTGTCACAGGTATGCTTCATCTAAAGCAGGCTCCCCCCTCACCTTCACCAGCTGTCTTGTTAATTTCCAACATCGCACTTGTCACTATCTAAAACGACCTTCTTTGTATTTACATGTTTGTTTCCCCATTAGACTGTAACCTCGAGCGTAGGGGATTGTTGGACTTATTCACAGCTATTAACAGTACTTCGCAAGCAGCAGGGGCTCAGTAAATTTTTTGTGTGAGTAATCACGTTATTGAACCTCCTTTTCCTGATCCGCAAAATGGAGACCACGATGACGATAAATTTGCCCCACAAGACTGGCTGGCGGCAAGGAAGGACAAACAGACTACTATCAATTTTACTTCTACTCTGATGCCCACGAAAATAGAAACATTTGGTAACCAGAAGCCGACCCTGCGTCTGCGCTGGCGGCCCTACACCCAGCAGCTAAGTGTGGCCACCACAGCCGGGCGACAGAGGAGGAGTCCGGGAAGTGGGGTATGACAGTGACAAGCAGCGGGAGGGACCCGCCCCCGGGGGTTAAGGAGGAAGTGGGCCTGCGGGGGGTAGAAAATGAGAAGCCGGACCCTAGCCTTCAGTATTAAAAAATAAAAAGCACAGTCCTTGGCTTCTCGGCTCTAGTGAAGCCTTGGGGATCCTGCCGGGGTCCGGGGATACGGGAAGAACGAGAGAAGGGGTCGGCTCTGGAGCGAAAGGGGCGAGAGGGGCCGAGGTAGCCTCCTCTGCACGCCCGGGGTCTCTGGCCCACTCTGCCGCGGCCCCGTCCCCGCTGGCCGACCCAATCCTACAACGACAGGCCCCCTCCCCTCGCCTCTCCCCTGCTCAGGGCCCGCTTCCTCTCTGCCCTCCTCGGCCCGCTTCTCTCAGCTCACGCACGATTCCTCGCCGCTCTCCCCAGTTCTCGCCATCTCCCCACACCGCGACTTCGCCCCCTTACCGGCATCTTGGAGGCTCCCGGTTTCAAGCTAGACCAGGAGGCTGGAGTTAGAGCGCTACGCTTCCGGTCCGGCGTCCCGGGCGGGGTAGGCGGAAGTGAGCCGGAAGGGGAGGGTGAGGGGAGGACGCGGCACTTCCGGTTTTGCTGTCGCTCTGCTTTGGCGGCTGAGGCTGCTCAGGGAGGAAAGGGACACCAGAGGGCACCCGAACACTAGGCAGGGCCTGTGAGTGCCGCTCATTGCGTGAAGTTTGAGCAAAATGGAGCGGGTTCCTGGGTTACAGAATCCTAAGGATCACTCATCTCAAAACTTTGTTTTTCCTCAAAGATTATCTTTTCGGTGAAGCATTCCCTGGATCACAGTATTTTAATTTTTAAAAAATGTTTAGTTTTGAGAGAGAGAGCACAAGCGGGGGAGGGATGGGGGTGGGGGGCGGAGGATCGGAATTGGCTCTGCGCTGACAGCAGCGAGCCCCATGGTGGGACTCGAACTCAGGAACTCCACGAGATCATGACCTGAGAGATCATGACCTGAGAGATCATGACGTGAGCTGAAGTCAGATGTTCAACTGACTGAGCACAAGAGTCACACTATTTTAAATTCAACCCCAACCCACTCCCCTGTGTTATCTTTATTTCTCTTTTACCCACAGATATGATTCTTTTATTATTTAGCTTACTTTTGGTATTTATTTCCCCACTCATGTGAACGTCAAAAAAGCTGGGATTTTTTCCATTTTGTACACTATTGTGTATCCCCTGCGCCTGTAACAGTGATGTACACGGAAAGCATCAATAAATATTTGATGAGTGTATGAATGAAAACAACTGGTTCTAATAATGGGGAAAGGAGAGCAGAGAGGGATTTATGCATTACCCAACTCCACTTTTTTGTGTGTGTAAAAACTGCAAAAATGGACTCTGGGCTTGAATCCTAGCTCTAATATTTACTAGTGGTGTCATTTTGGGTAAGTTAATTAACTTCTCTATGTCTGTTTCCTCACCCGAACTGGAGATAATCTACTTACCTCACTGTTTTGTGAAGATGAAATGAATTACATGTAAAGTATGTAAAACTTAAATGCCTGGAACATACGAAAAGCTCAGGAGTTTTTTACCTGTTACTAGGAACCACCTCATGTGTTAGTTTGCAAACTGGCCCTTGTATATAGAAGGCAAGAAGACTAGAGGAAGGCCAATCCTGATATACAGGTCGTGGTTCTAATCAAGTGAGGGAACTTACTTATAAGAGTTATCTTTGACAAGGCAAGAGTAGATGTCCCCAGTTACCTGCCACAGTAAGTCTATATAGAGGCCATAATTGGGTTCAGTCATATCCAGATGGGCTCAACATCATATTCTCTCAAGACTATGTCCTTACAACATCTCCCACAGTGAGGGGTGGGAGGGATGAGGAACCTCGTTTAAGGTTCAACCAGTGGTCACATCCTCTTGATGATCTTCTCCAACATCACCTTAAGTGCCAAGTTCATTGCTGCCTCAGGCCATTTCTCCTGCCAGCCCCTCAGACTGGAATACTCTGGCCCATGTTCCCACAAATGATTTCTTATTCAGGTTTCTAGCCAAATAGCACCATTTAGGAGCTTTCATTGACAATGAGCCCAAGTAGCCCCTTAGTTACTCTCCAGTTCATTACTGTTTTCATTTCTTCCCATTCCTTATCAAGGTTTCCTTGTTTATGGTCTCAAGGGACCGCATGTTAACTCCATGAGACTAGGGCCTTGTCTGGTCTGAGTGCTCCCATTTGTCCTCAGTGCCTGGCACCTACCAGTAAATTTTTCCACAGAATCATGGGAGGCTCTCCATCAAGATAATGAAATCCTTGAGGGCTGACTGGAATGGACATACTCATCTTTGAAACCCATGTCTAGAGGGGAAGGAAATTCAATTTGGTCCTTTACTTCTTGTCCAGAGGCACATACCAGATTCCAGAAGCTAAACCAGGGAAAAACAGTTCAAGGAGCAACGAGGGCAAATGAAGTTAGTTGCTTTTCCTGTCTTCCATGGCAATAAAATTTCTAATTTGCAACATTGGGAGATGAGCGTGTTTTCACCCTTTCATACTCAGGGCTACAAGGAGTCTCTAAGCAGGACAGTACTGCTTATTCTCTACTGATTGACCCCCAAACTGCCCCACCCCCCGGCAATAGCTCAAACCAATGGACCATGATGCAAATACCTGACTTGTACCTGTAGCCCAAGCCCCCAGACACAAGTTACCACTGAAAGCTATGGCTCCTCCCAGTTTGCACGTCTTTAGTTAAAATGTGACACTACAGGTGTACTCCTGCTATCTATGTACAAGAATGATTAAAATTTAACTGGAGTTGCAGGTTAAAGGGCTTAATTTGTATTGATATAAGATCCGGGACCAAATGACCAATGAAGCCTGGGTCCGTTATAAGGCTTATATGAAAGTGAAAGAAACTACGTTTCTTTTTCACCTTAAAAAAAAAGTTTATCTATTTTGAGAGAGAGCACACACGTGCAAGAGAAAGCAGGGGAAGGGCAGAGAGACAGAACCCCAAGCAGGCTTTATGCTGTCAGCTCAGAGCCCAACATGGGTTCTACCTCACGATTGTGACATTGTGATCTGAGCCAAGATCAAGAGTAGGACGCTTAACCAATTGGGCCACCCAGGCAGCCCAAGACTATGTAAGATATTCTTTAGCACATGGCCTGGCAGAACTCAATGGGCATTAGTAGGACCTGGTCCACAGCAGATTCTAGAGAAGTATCTGTTGACTGACTGACTAGTCATTCTCCATGCTTTCACACCCAACCCCTCTGAACTTAAAAACACTGAAAATAAAAAATTCGACCAATGTGCACATTAGTTAAAAATAAAAAAATTATGTCTTTCGCATTTTTGTGTGCATGTTATTTCGGGAAAGTGTACATTTTTAACTGCTCAGAGACTAAGAACTGCATTTTTGGGGTACCTGGGTGGCTCAGTTGGTTAAGTGTCTGACTCTTGATTTCAGCTCAGGTCATGATCTCGCAGTTCGTGAGTTTGAGCCCTGCATCAGGCTCTGCACTGCCAGTGCGGAGCCTGCTTGGGATTCTTTGTCTCCTCTCTCTCTGCTCCTACCCGGCTTGCTCTATCAAAATAAACAAACCTTTAAAAATAAATAAATAAATAAATAAATAGTGAAAACTGCATTTTTAAAGAAATCACTATGTTTTGATGACTGGGCAAATTTACACATTCAAAAATTTGCCCTGGTTGAGTACTTCTTTTTTTTTTTTTTTTTATGAGAGAGAGAGAGAGAGAGAATGACAGAGAGCGCACATGTGAGTCGGGGAGGGGTAACAGGGAAGAGAGAGAGAGAATCTCAAGAAGGTTCCATGCTCAGCATGGAGCCTGATGCCTGACGTGGGGCCCAATCCCACGACCCTGGGATCTTGACTTTTTTTTTTTGATCTTGAAATCAAAAGCTGGATGCTCAACTGCCTGAGGCACCCAGGTGCCCCTGACTGAGTATTCCAAATTCTGACTAGAAAACAAGAGTAACAAAAGGTTAGTGCTACTTTCTATTTCTTTTATTTATTTACATACATTTATATTTTAAGTTACTTTTCATTCTTTAATTACACAAATGATACATTTTCAATGTAGTAAAACTCAGAGATATAGATAAGCAAAGGTCTTAACTATATCCTTCTAGATTTTTTTTACCTTTGGACACACATGTATATTTTGTTACAATAATTCCTGCCTCTCAAAAAAAAAAAAAACCTTCAAAAGTAACAAAAATCCAACAATAGAAATAAAAGCAGACTGGGTCCTAAGCGTACCCCAGGTGCTCATTCATACTATATACAAGTCTATGTGCATTCATTTAAATTCCAACATTTAAAATCTGCATTGATGTTGTTAAAATGATACTACAACATTCCACCTGAAACACCAGCCTTTGAAGAACAGCTAGAGCTTGATCCGGGCATGCTGCTGCTAAAGAGCCAAGTATTACTTTCTTCACTGAAATAAGTAGCTTTCTAGTACTGCATCCTTCGAAGAGAACCATGTCTTGCTGGTTCAGCCACAGTGCTTCCCATATATGGTTACTATTTTAAAAACTCTTCATTCATTCTGGTGTCCTTGAAAATATTCATCAAACATAGAAGACGACTCCTCTTCATGTTCCTGACACAAAGAACAGAAAATATTCATTTCCCCTAAGTTAGATCTAGTATGTGCTCACCTATTTTTCAAGTATTACTCTACCAGGAGATAATGCCCAAATGCATTTTAGGTGTCTTTTACAGTGACAAAAGGCATGGGTGATAGAATTTTTCCAGCTAGGTTAAATTAAAGTGCTTTTATCTCATTGGAAGCATTTCTTACTTGAGTTCACACCTGCTGACTCTCAGCTACTTTGCTGAGATAGTGGCCTACGATAACTACCACCAGGCTTCCCAGTGACATGTGAGGGCAGCCCAAGTTCAACTGGATTTCATCTCCTCTTTGCACTTGCGCCCAAGCCCTGAGGACAAAGAAACTTAATAATACCATAGCCTCAATAACAGGAAACTGATACTGCTTGTTGAGCGCAGATGTGAATCTCGGAGAACTCCCAGGAAAGCCCAGGTTACCACTGTTGCTAAGACGAAATTTAAGGAGTTGCTGGGAGTATGCAAGAGGCCACTGAGTGCTGGTGCAAACTGATACCAAAAGTCAATAATCAAAATTACCTTTGGTTCTTTGAATTCTAAGTCTTCTCCATACTGAATGGCAAAATCAATATGTTGTAACACAATGTTCATGCTTTCTTCATCTGATTGATCATAGGGTAAAAATCGAACCATGCTGTAGTCGTCAATCTACAAGTTGGGAATTTCAGAAAAGGTCATTCTGAAGCTGTACAAGACTTAATTTTCAACTTACATTTTAGTTTATAAGCATTTGTGTTTCTGATTTAAAACATCTGCATGTGGAAGGAGGGAGGAGGAGGAATAGACACAGAACAAGAGCAAATCGTTGATTTTTCTGGCCTCTGACCTCCCTGATACTCATGAACTTACTACTTAACTAGACACTATTTCATAGGTATTTATCTGAATTCAACAACCACCGGGAATTTCAAAAAGGCACAGACAGTTCTGAACTTCCCACAAAGCTTAGAACAGTAGACATGTCAGTTAACTTATCAGCTACTGCCAATAGAGGGGTGCCTGGGTGGCTCGGTTGGTTAAGTGTCTGACTCTTGATTTTGGCTCAGATCATGATCCCTGCATCTGGCTCTGCTCTCGGTGTGGAACCTGCTTAAGATTCTCTCTCCCTCTGTCCCTCTCTCATGCATGCACACACGTGTACTCTCTTAAATAATTAATTAATTTAAGCTACATACTGGCCAGCCCACAGCCTGTCCCTACCTTCCTCCCTTTTACGAGGAACAGGATTGGACTCTGCTTCCTGTAATGGTGGCTACTGACTAGCTCTGGGTAAACAGCAGACCAGGTCATTTAAAAACAACTTTGAGAAGCACCTGGGTGGCTCAGTTGGCTAAGCATCTGACTCCTAATTTCGGCTCAGGTCATGATCTCACAGTTTGTGAGTCTGAGCCCTGCATCGGGCTCTCCGCTGTCAGCACAGAGCCAGCTTCGAATCCTCTGTACCCCACTCCTTCTGCCCCTCCCCCACTGCTTTTCTCTCTCCTCTCTCTCTCAAAATAAATAAACTTAAAAAAAAGCTTACCAGTCCACATATGGCTTTAGTCAATTTTTTAAATTTTTTGCTTCTTAAGTCACTTGCAGAATCATCTAATAAAGAATACATGTCTGGATCTAGAAACCTTCAAAGGAGAGAAAAACAACTGACGAATAAAAGGAAGAATAAATCAGGAAACTAGTTTTGCAGACTGACAGAACTTTACATCTCCGCAATTAAGATCTGAGGATAATGGAAGAAGTAAGCTCACTTTTCGATTTCCTTTTTAGCTTTCTTACTCAGCAGATCCATTTTTGTCATGATGTTAACTTGTGGAATTTCTAGAGAGATCATGGCACTCAGGGCTGCCAAGATGCCAGAGATGAACTAAAGGAGGTAAAAGAAAAGGAAAGATGAATTAATTGTTGCCAACAAAATTTGGTGATCTCCACATAAAAGAGAGGCTTTTGCTCCTCACTGGAACCAAAACTGGCCTAAGTAAAAGAAATGCTAATCCTAAAGAAAAGACAGTCCACTAATCAGATGGTTGACCTGGTAGATTTAATTTACAGTGATTATGGGAGCCTTGGCTGGCTTGGTCAGCTAAGCACATAACTCTTGATATTAGGGTTATAAGTTCAAGTCCCACATGGGTGTAGGAATTACTTAAATATAAAATCTTAAAAAAAAAAATGTACAGTGATCACAAACCTCAATTTAAAGTTAAGATGTTATCTTAACCCCTTTTCATTGAATATTCCTTATTAAGAGCAATTAAGGAATGCTCTTAAAGAATGGGAAATACAGTTCATAAACTAGATAAAAGGCCCTCAGAGAATTAAAAATAGACCTATAAACAATGCATTTGCCTCATTTTTCTTGGTAAATAGTTACCCCAAATCTATATGATATCATATTTTGACTTAAAAATATATCTGGAATATAGTTTTGAAATATCCAGAATCACACAGTGGTTAAAGAAGACTGTAATCTGCTAAAAAGTCAACATGAGTGACCTAAACCTTGAGAGGTACCTGGGTGGCTCAGTTGGTCAGTGTCCCAACTTTAACTCAGGTCATGATCTCTTGGATTTGACTTTGAGCCCCATGTCATGCTCTGTGCTGACAGCTCAGAGCCTGGGGCCTGCTTCAGATTCTGTGTCTCCCCCTCTCTCTGCCCCTCCCATGCTCATGCTCTGTCTCTCGATAGTAAATAAAGGTTAAAAAAAACGTAAACCTTGAACGATTCCACCATGAACTGAGAGTCAACGAGAAAAACTCCACAGACTCGGAACTCCCATTGTTCCAGCTGCTGGACCAGTTGTTTCATCACAGGCAGGTGCGTATACAACTCAATCTGACCTACATGAAGAATAATAACAAGATTACTATAAACAGGAAATAAGTGAACTCATTAAATTACGTGAAAAAAAATTTCCCTTGGGGCGCCTGGGTGGCTCAGTTGGTTGAGCGTCCAACTTCGGCTCAGGTCATGATCTCACGGTTCGTGGGTTTGGGGCTCGCGTCAGGCTCTGTGCTGACAGCTCAGAGCCTGGAGCCTGCTTTCGATTCTGTGTCTCCCTTTCTCTCTGCCCCTCCCCCACTCATGCTGTGTTATTCCCTGTCTCAAAAATATATAAACATTAAAAAAAATTTTTTTTTTAAATTTCCCAAAAGATGGTTAAAGAAGGGAATCAAAAGCAAGCGCTAAGGTGTGTGTTGTTTAGGAATGTTCATCAAGCTGTATGCTTGGGATATATGCACTTTTCTGTGGGCTCAATTGAAGGCAAGGGAAAATAAAGTGAGGGCACAACTGATCACAGCTAGGTTAGACTCAAGTCTAAAATTCACAATTTTGGGGCACCTGGGTAGTTCAGTCAGTTGTCTGACTCTTGATTTTGGCTCAGGTCATGATCTAATGGTTTGTGAGATTGAGCCCCATGTCAGGAGCCTGCTTGGGATTCTCTGAGCCTCTCTCCTGCTTATGCGCTCTCTCAAAATAAACAAACAAATCAATCAATTAATTAATTAAAAAAAATAGGTGGCTCAATCAGTTAAGTGCCTGACTTTGGCTCAGGTCGGTCATGATCTCACAGTTCATGGGTTCGAGGCCCACGTCGGGCTCTCTGTTGTCAGCAGAGCCCGCTTTGAATCTTCTGTCCCCACTGCCTGTCCCTCCCCAGCTTGTTCTCTCTCTCTCTTTCAAAATAAATAAATAAATATTAAAAGTAAAATAAAATTCACAATTTGGCTTAAAAAGTTGCATGTGATTATCTGTCCCCTACCAACCTCACCTCATGACATTTCCCTGATCCACACAGGTCTTTCAGTGGCCTGAACCCACCTTACTCTTTCCTGCCTCAAAGCTTTTGGCATGCTGTGTCCCCCGCCTGGACCATGGCTTCCCTCACCTTCACCTCACAGCCCAGCTTACAGGCCACTTGATCAGAAGCCTCCTAATCTTGCTATGTGATGGTCTGTGCTACTCCTGCGGAGAACCCATCAAAAATGAATATTAAATAATAACATGAGTGATTCTGTTCATTCTATTTAGTACTTCCACTTGACTGAGGGCTCTGTGAGGGCAAAGACCATGGATTCCTGGCTCTGTATGGTATTTCCAGAATACAAAGTAAACGCTCAGTAGACTCAATGAATGAGTTAGAGGCAATGAGTAAGAGCTTTGTACTTCACTGCGGAATGGTTTAGAGCTATGAAGGCTCAGTCCACTTTTTCTTACTGAGGATAGAACCAGCACAACTTCAAGGAAAAGGTCACGTTCAAATTGCAGACTTACCTGGACAGTCAAAAAGGATATAGTCATCCTCTACATGGCCAAGACAGTTCTCTAGCCAGTCAAAATTATTGGCAAAGTATTCCATGCAAAATACCAGTCCTCCATTGGGACCAAACCGCAGAGAGTCATCCTCCATGACATCATCCACCTCGATCAGTTCCCGAATGTCTGCACAAGACAGAAGGGCCCGGAACATAAGAACATCCATTCAAAAACTGTTATCCTCGCTAGTGAGAGTTAACAATTATATAACAACTCACATATGTGAAACTATTTCTCTACATGATTATTACCGTAGCAGTGTTCATGGCAACTAATTAAGTAAATTACTGTAGAGCCAGATAGTGGAGTCCTATGTAGTCATAAAAAGGAGAAGCACTTTAAGTATGGATATGATAAAATCTCCCAGGTATACTTAAAAATTTTTTTAATGTTTATTTTATTTTTAGGAGAGACAGAGAGAGACATAGTGCAGGGAGGGGCAGAGAGAGAGAGAGAGAGAGAGAGAGACAGAGACAGAGACAGAGAGACAGAGACAGAATCCGCAGCAGGCTCTGGGCTCCCAGCTGTCAGCACAGAGACTAACATGGGGCTCCAACCTGCAGACCATGAGATTATGACCTAAGCCAAAATCAGACCCTTAACCGACTGAGGCACCCAGAAGCCCCTCCTAGGTATACTTTTAAGTGAAAAGTGCAAGGAGCAGAACTCTGTAAAAATGCCATCATATGTGTTAACAACAACAACAAAAGACAAAGATTCATATATACAGAAAACACATATTTGATTTTATATGCACAGACTTTCTATGGAAAAACATCCTAGAAACTGGCAACACTGGATGCCTCCAGGCAGGGGAGCTGATTACTGAGACACAGAGCTGGGAGGAGACATTTTCCTGTGTACTTACTCTTTGTACCTTTTACATTTTGAACCATGTAAATATACACTACCTATTCTAAAACAACTAAAACCAAACCAAACCAAGAAAACCAATTACGTTTCTTAACATGATGACTACAGGGAAGCTACTTAACCTCTCTGCAACTCACTTTCCTTATTTATAAAGCGGGGGACAAATCATATATCCTGGGGTAGAGGGATGAAGACTCCATGGAACAATGGAAATAAATCACCTATAGCAGGAGCTTAAAAATTCTGGTATATGCATAGTTCTCCTCTACTACTCATTTTGGAAATCTATTTCCAAATCTATTTTTAAATTTTATTAAAAAAAAATTCTAATGCTTTTATTTATTTTTGAGAGGGAGAGGGAGAGAGAACATGAGCCGGGGAGGAGCATAGAGAGACGGTGACCCAGAATCTGAAGCAGGCTCTAGGCCCTGAGTTGTCAGCACAGAGCCCGATGCAGGGCTCGAACCCACGAACCATGAGATCATGACCTCAGCTGAGGTCAGATGCTTAACTGACTGAGCCACCCCAGTGCCCCAAATTTATTATTTTTAAAAATTTTTTAATGTTTGTTTATTTTTGAGAGAATGAGAGAGAGAGCAGGAGGGCCAGTGAGAGAGAGAGGGAGACACAGAATCTGAAGCAGGCTCCAGGCTCTGAGCTGTCAGCACAGAGCTGGATGTGGGGCTCGAACTAACAAACTGCGAGATCGTGACTTGAGTTGAAGTCGGGTGCTTACTGACTGAGCCACCCAGGTGCCTCGGAAATCTATTATTTATAACTTTCTACTGTGGGTTTTTTATGTTTGTGCTCAAATCTACAATCTCTGGGGGCACCTAGGTGGCTCAGTCGGTTAAGCGTCCGTTTTCGGACTAGGCCATACCCAAGTTTGAGCCCCGTGTCAGGCTCTGTGCTGACAGCTCAGAGCCTGGAGTCTGTTTCTGATTCTGTGTCCCTCTCTTTCTGCCCCTCCCCTGCTCACATTCTGTGTGTGTGTGTGTCTCTCTCTCTCAAAAATAAATAAACATTAAAAAAAAAAAAAAGCCCTATAATCTCTGTTCACAGAGAAATGTCTCACTCTTAGCCATGTTTATATGGAAAATATCTTCCTGTGTACTTCCTCTCCCTATCCAGGATTTAAACATCTGACTCAAGTTGGGACAATAAAATAGATCTTCTAAAGGATGACTCAAGGGGTGCCTAGGTGGCTCAGTCAGTTAAGCAATCAATTTTGGCTGAGGTCATGATCTCACAGTTTGAGGACTGCCCTCTGTGCTGACAGCTCAGAGCCTGAAGACTGCTTCAGACTGTGTCTCTCCCCTCCCTCTCTCCTGCCCGCCCACTCATGCTCTGTCTCTCAAAAACTGGCGATAAAAAGAATGTTTTTAATTAAAAAAATAAGTAAAAGGATGACTCAAGGACACAAGTCAGTCATTAGGACACCCGGACCACAAAGTGATGTGAACCTGAAGTTGGAGGCACTTTGCTGGGCCACGTGAAGTTGAGAAAGGTGGTCTGTAAGAGTGATAAAAAGGCAGAGAAAGACAGAAAGCTGGCTTTAGTTTCTGTTAGTTTTTGTGTTTTGGGTTCTAGTCTCTCATAAAGCCTTGCTCTTGGTTTTGCAAGAGATTCCCTAATTTCTCCTAAATAATCCTTTTACATAAACTGGCTTGTGCGACGAAACAATCCCAAAGCAATGCAATGACTTTTTCTCAAGGAAGATGACTATTTCATGTCTCCTCTGCTTGATTCAACTTGCCTTCCCCCACCCCCACTCGCACCACTTCCAGCCACTCTGATGTCCCAATGGCACACATGTCATTAATAGAAATCAGAAACCAACAAAGAAGAATTTACCATATTCCCAGCACTGTTACTTGGTGCCTTGAACCCTGCCTTCGCTCTGCTTACAAGGAAGAAGCACCCCACTCCAGGGACACCTGGTGGCTCAGTCAGTGCAGCGTGCAATTCTTGATCTGGGGGTTGTAAGTTTGAGCCCCATGTTTGGTGTAAAGATTACTTACAAATAAAATCTTTAAGAGGAAAATAAAAGCATCCTACTTGTAGTGAAGGCAAAACCCTCCACTTGTTTGGGATTTCCCCTCCCCTTTCTCACTCATGAAGTTACTCCCACCATTTGGCATTTTCAGTTTCTCTTTCTCCACTGGGACGTTCTCTTCACCAATCAAGTCCGTTCCAGTGTTCCGGTTAGCATCTCCAAGGTTCAAAGGAAACCTCCCTTGACCCTCATATCCTCTCCAGTTCTCACTCCACTTCTCTGCTCCTTTCAGTGAAACTTCCTCGTCTCCTGTCAGCGCTGACACTGCATCACCTCCAGGCCACTCTTCAAACCGCTCCACTGAAACCGCCAGGCACAGTCACCACCACCTCCATGTCCCCACGTCTAACACCCACTTCTGTTCTTATCTTACACGAATTCCCAGCCATCTCGGACACCAACAAGCACAAGCTCTTTCTTGAAACAGTCTTTTCTTCTGGCTTCTGTGATGCCACATTTTTCTGGCTTTCCTACCTCACTGACTCCACCTCTTCCACCGGACTGTTGAAGATCAGATAACTTTAAGGCTTGGTCTTGGGTTCTCTTCTCTCACCATACTTCTTCCCACAGTCTCATCCAGGCCTGGAGCTTTAGGGACTGTCTATATGCTGCTGATTTGGCAATTTATATCTCCAGGCCAGACCTTGTTCCGGAGTCCCAGACTATTATATCCACTTGGTTCCTTGATACTGCCCCTTACATATGTCAGACATCTCAAGCTCAGTAAGTGCAAAGAGGTCTGCCCCAAACTAAAGAGACTTGTCTTCCTTCCTGAAATGGCACCACACGCTCTCTTCAGTAATTCAGGCCACTCAAGTCAGAGATCTAAGAGTCACCCTTGATGATTCCTCCCTTTCTTATACCCTTTTGGTTCACTCTCCCAAAGAATGCTAATTCTACCTGCAAAGTAGATACCGAATCCATCTGCACTATGCCCACCCTAGTCCAAGCCACCTAGACATCTTCCAGAGCCATACTGCTAGCCTCTGCTTCTACTCCTGACCCTCAGAATCTGTTTTTCATCTGAGAGCTAGTATCTTTAAAAATAGATATTGGGGCACCTGAGTGGCTCAGTCGGTTAAGCATCCAACTCTTGATTTTGGCTCAGGTCATGACCTCACAGTTCATGAGTTTGAGCCCTTCTTTGGGCTTTCTACTGACTGTGTGGAGCCTGCTTGGGATTCTCTCTCTCTGCCCCCCTCCCCACTTGTGCTCTCTCTCTCTCTCTCTCTCAAAATTAATAAACTTAAAATAAAAAAAAAAATGAGTGTGTTTCTTAAAAAAAAAAAAGAAATATATATATATATATATATATCAATCCTCTCCCCTGCTTTAAAACCTCCAATAGCATTCCACCGCTGACACGTACTATAAATTGAATGTGTCCCCTCAAATTTCCCATACTGAATACCTAATGCTCAAGGTGATACCATTAGGAGGTGGAGCCTTTGAGAGGCAATGGGTCATGAAGGTGGTGTCTCATGATTGGGTTTAGTGCTCTAATAAAAGAGGTCCCTTGTCCCCTTCCATCATGTGAGGACACAGTGGGGAGTCAGCAGCCTGCCACCTAGAAGAGGACTTTAACCAGAACCTGACTCTCCTGGCACCCTGATCTTGAACTTCCAGCCTCCAGAACCATGAGAAATACATTTCCATTGTTTATAAGCTACCCTGCCTGTGGTGTTTTGTTAATGCAGCCCAAATGGACTAAGAACACGGGATAAAACCCAAACTTCTCACGTCCTACTGGCACCTACCCACTTCTTTGTTTCACTCATTCAGTTCCAGCTCACTGACATATTTGCTTTTTCGGAAACACACCAAACCCCTTCCTGTCTCTAGGCAATTTATTGCCCTGACGTTCCCTCATCTTGGAAGGCCTCTCCCCAGCCTGGTGAGCACATGACTATCGTCATCAGGTCTGGGCCCAAATCTCCCTTCCTGAGACTTCTCACCGACTACCCTTCCTAAAGCAACTTCCCCACTTATTCCCTCTCATCAGCCTATTTGCAACTTTATGACAATCCGCATGTTTATCATTTTGCTTATCTCCCCATTAAAAGATCCATGAAGGCAAGGATAACATCTACCATTCTCTGCTGGAACGCTGGTGTCTGGCATAAAGCACGTGTTCAACAGATCTCTGAATGAACAAAGGGAAAGGATGTTAAAAAACAAACAGTTAGGCTGCTCCCTTATACTAGGATCAGCATAAACCTGATTCACCACAACAGGACTAGCATGAAAGGGACAGAAGGGAAGTGTGATGAGGGAGGAGTCTCCTCACTTAACTTAAACCAAAGACCAGGAAAGGATCCTGCCACCTATGTCCACATGAGTGCATGTCACCAAATGACATTCGGCCTCATGCTGTTCACCATAAAACAGGGAAGCGGACTGTAGTGATTACAATTTTCAGCTTTTGTGCCAAGCAGCCTGCTTCTCCACCGCTTATTTTTCCTGAAGGAGGGAGCAGGCCCTGCTCAGGACTCACCAGCCATCACGGAGTAGTTGAAGTGTTCTGCTGCAGGATCTAGGTTCACAACTTGGATGGATCGATTGAGGGCTTCACAGTGCTGGACCATGGTGGCGCAGTAGGTGCTCTGTAATGTCATAAGGCACGAGGGGTCAAAGCAACAGGCAGTGTGGTCCTCCCCCTGCATTCCCAGAAGGACGTCCCATATCCTTTGGTCAGTATCCATTAAGGAGAATAAAACTATGCCTTTATTGACCAAAAAGCTGACTGAAAACAGGAAAGGTACTGGGCTGGGAGTTGGGGACACCGGACTGGGCTGCAGATCCAGACCTGGCTAAGACTCATGGGTAACTTTAGGGAAATTGTTTCTCTACTTTGCCTCTTAGTTTGTTTTGTTTCTTCCTTCCTCCCTCCACCCCCTTTTAAGGTTTTTATGTTTATTTATTTATTTTTTCAGAGAGAGAAAGAAAGAGAGAGTGCGTGCACGCATAAAGAGGGGAGGGGCAGAGAGGTGGAGACAGAATCGCACGCAGGATCCACACCATCAGCACAGAGCCTAATGTGGGGCTTGAACTCATAACTTGAGCCAAGATCAAGAGTTGGATGCTTAACCTACTGAGCCACCCAGGTGCACCTTAAGATTTTATTTTTAAATAATCTCTACACCCGACACGGGGCTCTAACTTATAACCCCAAGATCAAGACTGCGGAATGAACCAGCCAGGTGCCCTGTCCCTCAGTTTTCTTAAAATTTTTTTTTTATGTTTTATTTATTTCTGAGAGAGAGAGAGAGAGACAGCATGAACAGGGGAGGGTCAGAGAGAGAGGGAGATACAGAATCTGAAACAGGTTCCAGGCTCTGAGCTAGCTGTCAGCACAGAGTCTGATGTGAGGCTCAAACCCATGAACCGTGAGATCATAATCTGAGCTGAAGTCGGACGCTTAACCAACTGAGCCACCCAGGCGCCCCTGCCCCTCAGTTTTTTATCTCTTAATTGGAATGGCCTCTAACAATCACTAAGGCTCCTTGTTGCTCTAACATGCAAAAAGTGGAATTTAAAAAGATTTCTAAGGATACCAAGCAGCACACACAATGTCTGTGTAACACAATATCTCTACCAGGATGATTACGGTCCAAAGATTTAAGTAGGGTGTTCAGGGATGATGTCGCTGAAGGGGAGAGGGGTGTTTGAGCCAAGGGATGTGAATGTGCTTGCCAAGCCAGGGGAAGAGCATTTCAAGACGACAGCACATTGAGGTCAGTAAATAGCCTAGAGGTGGGCTATCAGTTTGCAACTTTTGATTTAGAGAATTCTTATTCCTCATGTAATCCTTAATACACTATGTTAAAATCTCTAAGTTACTTTTCTGTCTTTCCTACTCTCTAGTTAAGGGCAGGGATGTATTGGGGCACCTGGGTGACTCAGTTGGTTGAGTGTCTGACTCTTGACTTCAGCTCAGGTGGTGATCCCAAGGTTGTGGGATTGAGCCCTGTGTCGGGCTCCAGAACCAGTGTGGATCCTCTTGCAATTTTTTTTTTCTCTTTCTCTCCCTCTCCCCCACTCGTGTGCTTGCTCTCTAAATTTAAACAAAAAGAAAAAAAGAAAAAGGAAAGGGCAAGGATGTGTCTTCTTCAGTTTTATAAGCCTAGGAACTAGCATGGTATCCGACACATAATTACTTCTAATTGACTGACTTGATATGTTTGGATATAAACTCTACAAGGGCAAGGGGGGTGATGGGCATGGAGGAGGGCATTTATGGGGATGAGCACTGGGTGTTATATGGAAACCAACTTGAAAATAAACTATTAGAAAAAAAAAACTCTACAAGGGCAGAGATGAGTGTGTGTGTGTGTGTGTGTGTGTGTGTGTGTTATCCACTACACAATCCGCAGGGCCCAGAACAGTGCCTGGCACAAAGAATATGCTCGGTGAGTACTTCTGATAGTAGGCATCAAAAATTTGTAGAAAAGTACTTGTCTAACAGTCAGAAAATTAATCTGGAATACAGAAGATAACTTCTATTATCCTTTCTCCTCAGTGACTTTTCACATACTATTCTCTCTGCATAACAGGAGGCCCTCTCCATACATCACACACACACACACACTATATATATGTGTGTGTGTATATATATATATATACACGTATATATGTGTGTATACATATGTGTGTATATACATATACGTATGTGTGTATATATGTGTGTGTATATACATACATATATACACACATATGTGTATATACATATACGTATGTGTGTATATATACATATATACATATATGTGTGTATATACATATATGTATGTGTGTATATACATATATGTATGTGTGTATATACATATACGTATATATGTACGTGTGTGTATATACATATACGTATATATGTACGTGTGTATACATACGTATATATGTATGTGTGTGTATATATATGTATATATGTATATGTGTGCATATATATACGTATATATGTATATGTGTGCATATATATATGTATACACACACACATATATATTTAATGTGTATTTATTTCTGAGAGAGAGAGACTGACAGAGGTGAGTAGGAGAGGGGCAGAAAGGGAGGGAGACACAGATTCTGAAGCAGGATCCAGGCTCTGAGCTGTCAGTACGGAGCCTGACACGGGGCTTGAACCCAGGAACCATGAGATCATGACCTGAGCTGAAGTCGGACTTTTAACCAACTGATCCACCGAGGTGCCCTGCATTGCACTATATTTTAAATGACAAGTCTTTCCAAATAGGCTACAGGCTCTGGGTAGGCAAGGGCTATATTATAGTCACATGTAGATCGCCTGCACCCAGAAGAGGTCAAGCCTCAGAACAATGTCTTCAAGACTGAAACCAGACAATGCTTCCAAATTCCAGAGCTTTTCACACTCCTGTTATTTGACTGATATCTTCACCATTTCTGTAATATTTGAAAGCTCCTCATATCATCCCGCTAACACTTGCTTACAAGAAAAAAAATACCTTTATTGTAAACAGGAAACCAGGTATATTTATCATAACATGAACGTAATCGTAAAATTAAATGTACTTTAAAGGTCTTTTTATTCTAGCTAAATACAAAGGTCTCTCAAAAGCTCTAAGATCTGACCTCTGAAGAGACCTGGGGATTAAAGTGTTAGATATACAAGTACCAAACTGACAATTTCACCTCAATTCAAACAAAGAGAACTGAAAAGGGAATAACTTTCTCAATAAACGATTCGATGTTCACTAATGTTAGGTCCATATACCTCCTAAAGGCGCCTCAAATACCAGAAATCCATGTCTCAAACGTCTAAGAAACAGTGATTAATGAGACCACACTTGAACCGTCTATGAGCGAGACGGGGGCGGATTCTGGAGTTACACAAAACTAGATTTAAATTCCAGCCACCGCTTACTAGCCGTGTGATCCTGGGCACAGAACTGAACCTTTCTGTGTCTGTTTCTATAAAATTCCCGTCTGTAAAATGAGAATAATAGGACTTCTCTCACAGTGTTTAAACGCAGTATCTGGGGCATTAGTATATTATAAACATTAACAAGCATCGTTACTCTCCACTTTCAAAACCACAACAAAAAGAGCACTGAAGAAGACTGCAGAGCCGAGCTGCCCAGGATCTCCAGTACACGCACGCGCCGGTCCCGTCGTCAGGACCAAAACCTCCCTGCCTCCCACGAGCCCAGACTTTTCTCTCCTTCTCCCGCCAAATGCTCACCTTCCCGCTGCCTGCCGGGCCCATGACCAGCTGCGCATACCGAGGCATACCGGCGCTCCGGGTCCCGGGTGCTACCGGCGGATCAACACCGGGTTCGACCACCCCGCTCCCTTCAGCCTTCGCGCGGCGCTCACTGAGTTCCGGGAACACGTCCTGCGAACCAATCGCAATCCAAAATCCTTCTGTGGCTTCTGCTCGGTTGCATCCCTGACTACGAAGCGTCCCGCAGGTCAAATCTCGTGTGAAACGCGTTCTCCGGAAACTCTGGGAGGGGCGGGAGGGCGGTTTGCGCGTGCGCAGAAGTAGCTGACGGAAACAGGCGGTTGGAAGGCTCGAGACATCTGGTTGCCTTGGTGATCACGGTTTAACGGACAACATTCAGCGTCCCTGAGCCTGGAGCTTTGGTCCTTGGTTTGTGTACTGAGGTTCGACCTAGGTGGTGACTCTCAAGATTTGCAAATGTAGAGGGTCTGGAATACTGAGGTGCAAGGCACCTCCTGTTTTAGGGACGTGTATATTTCCTTCTTGTGACTAATCCTTTCCACAAAAAAGATGCAAACGTGCAAGCACACGATCAACTAAAGTACTCCTGCCCCTCCCCCACTCTAACTCCAGCGTCGCGCATCTGCCCTCCCCGCGCTCCCGAAGCTATTCGGGCAGTGTCCGGAGCGCATCGGAGGGGGCTAGAATACCGCGTCCGCCTCTTCACCCGCGATATCGCCCGGCCTGACGCACGCGTGCTGACGGGGGAGGGGAGAGGGGGAAGCCGCTTCTTCACGCAGCTCGAGGTCCGGGCACCCGGGAGGAGATGCCGGGCCAGGGTCGGGTGTCCGACTGGACAGAATGCAGCTCTTCCGCAGAGCCTCCCGCAGTGGCCAGAACTGAGGGTGGCGGCGGCGGGTGAGGCTGAGGGGCCCTGACGGGTTAGGGAGGACGGCCACCCCCTCGGGTCGTGATCCCCTGTGGTGGAGGGGGTGGCAGTTGACTGCTCCAACGGACTGGTCCGCAGTGCACTGACGTGAGAGGAGGGGGAGCCTTTATTGTGGCCAGGGTGGCACAAATGGAAGCCGACTCACAGTTTAGGGGAGGGCTTGTGAGGTAAGGTTGAGTGTTGGTGCAGTGACTAAACGCGGGGACTGCGACAATTGGCCTGGGTGCATTTTTCTGCCCCGAGGGGGCGCTGCGAAACCTGCTGGAAAATATGCCGTCTCGTCACAGGATCTCTACAAAAAGAGGGTGGGGGACAGAGCAGAAACCGAGGCTCAACGGAGGGCTTCCAAGTCAGTAAATCAGTGACATATGTGCGACTTTAGCCACCTACGTGTCCAAGGGATTCATAATGCCAATGAGACATAATTATGAATATTAAAGGCACCTTGATCTTGATTTTTTTCCCCATAGAAGTTTTTCTTCATAAATCCATTTTAAGCGGGGTGTTTTTTGGTTTTGGGTTTTTTTTTTTTTAACTGTTATTTACTGGAAGCTGAAGGCAATTAGTCGTCAGTACCTCCTCATCCTTTCCATCAGTTAATCCCTAAAAGTGAGAGCTGCAGGGTGTACCTACCCAGTTCAGCACACAGTCATGGCTCCTTCTGCACCCATCACCGTATTTAGAAAATGACCATAACGTACTGAAGACTTAAAGATGGGGTCTGGTCTTTGTTTTTTGTTCATTACAGTGTTTGGCGAAGTGTAGGATCCTAGTATATCAAGAGATAAATGGACACTTGGTCACTGAATACATTGAAGGAAGAGAGAAGGGTGTTTTCTCTTAGTTAGAAAAAAGAACTTGTACAAAAATAGAAATATTCCAGACCAAGTTATCAGTTCTAGTACACCTTAAATATATAAAGGACAAGATAGTTTTCGCCGTATCCAAGTTACTTTATTAAAAATAAAGACAGCAAGAAAATACCCCAAACTATTTAATTGAGCTCAAAGTAGGAATTAGATTAAAAGGCTATAAAAGTAAGACCAAGTCTGGCTTAAAGTAAATCCTTTCTAGTATGGTTAAAAACCTCAGATAACTCACTTTGAAAAAGCCTGGAGCCATTAGGATATAACCAGGATTACAGGAGAAAATTTACAAGATATTCTGTCTGATGGAAACATGAAAAAAAAAAGCATACACAATACTGCCCTTTTTTTCATTTAAAATACTTTTTAAAGATGTGTTTATTTATTTATTTATTTTTGAGAGAGAGTGCTCCCGTGTGTGAGCAGAGAGGGAGACAGGAGGCAGAAAATCCCAAGCAGGCTCAGAGCTCAAACCCTCCAACCAGGAGATCATGACCTGAGCCTAAATTAAGAATCGGTTTCTCACAGAGTCAGCCACCTAAAATATGTGCTTTCTTTAATGCTTATAAAGCTGTCAATTATTACATATTATTTATTATTTTGTTTTTTTTGCCCCAACAGATCACCTGGACTTCCTTATCAGAATTCCAAGGGTATTGGTGAGTAGAGCATATACAACAGATAATATCTATAAATAACATGGTTTAGAGATGCTAATTTTGCTGTAACTACAAACACAATGGAGTTTTTAAAAATTTATCTATTTTTTAAATTTATATCCAAGTTAGTTAGCATATAGTGCAAACAATGATTTCAGGAGTAGATTCCTTAATGCCCCTTACCCATTTAGCTCATCTCCCCTCCCACAACCCCTCCAGTAACTCTGTTTATTCTCCATATGTAAGAGTCTCTTATGTTTCACAGTGGAGTTTTAAATACACTTTATTGGGGTGCCTGGGTGGGTCGGTTGGCATCTGACTTCAGTTCAGGTCATGATCCCAATCTGTGGATTCGAGCCCTGCGTGGGTTCGAGCTCTGAGCTGTAAGCACAGAGCCTGGAGCCTGCTTCAAATTCTGGGTCTCCCTCTCTCTCTGCCCCTCCCCCGCTTGCTCTCTGTATCTGTGTCTCAAAATAAAATAAATACATAAAAAAAAAGACTTTATTGGTATCCTGGTGAACTTAAAATTTTCAAAGAACAATCCAGCAGTTTCTTTTTCTCTTGTTAAGATATCTAACATCAAGCATTTTATTTCTTAAAATTTGTTGCAAGTTTTTTTTTTTAGTGTTTATTTTGACAGAGCACGCGTGGGAGGGGCGGAGAGAGGAGTACAGAGGATCTGAAGCAGGTTCTCTTTGACAGCAAAGAGCCTGATGCAAGGCTCAAACTCATGAACCTTGAGATCATGACTGGAGCTGCAGTCAGATGCTTAGGAAGCTTAACCCACTGAGCCACCTAGGTGCCCCCTATATCAACCCCCCCTATATCAACCATTTTAAAAAGAGTACTTCAAAATAGCAACGAATCTGAAAAGAACTGTGTTTATAACTGGTGTTTGAAATGCCCAGGGGATGGCCTGGGGTTTGTAACAAATTGAAGGGAAAATTTCTAACTTGAATAAGTACAAAGGACAAAATATTTCTCAATGCTGCTGTTTTTCCTTTCACTTTAAATAAAGGATAAAGCTGCTGGAGGTAAAAAAGTAAGACAGAGGGACGCCTGGGTGGCTCAGTCAGTTAAGCGTCAGACTTTGGCTCAGGTCATGATCTCTTGGTTCGTGGGTTCGAGCCCCGCGTCGGGCTCTATGCTGACAGCTAGCTCAGAGCCTGGAGCCTGTTTCAGATTCTGTATCTCCCTCTCTCTCTGACCGTCCCGTTCATGCTGTCTCTCTCTCTCTGTCTCTCTCTCTCAGAAATAAATAAAACGTTAAAAATTAAAAAAAAAAAAAAAGAAGACAGAACCCCCAAAGGCCTCTCACTAATTTTTTTTGGAGGGGAGCAATTTCAATTCTATGATCTATAAACTTGGATTCACTTTATTTTTCCTTGGAAAATTTACAGTCCTTACAGTTACCTGAGAAAAACACAGACATCTGTCTATGTGTCTATATATAAAAATGCATACATACATATGAATAAAGTGGTTGCTTTAAAATGAAATTGTTAGATCATATGGCAGTTCTATGTTTAATTTTTGAGGAATCACCACACTGTTTCCACAGCTGCTGCACCATTTTACATTCTCATCAGCAATGCACAGGGTTCCGATTTCTCCACGTCTAGCTAACACCTGTTTTCATTAAAAAAAATTTTTTAATGTTTATTTTTGAGAGAGAGAGAGGGACAGAGCTCAAGCGGGAAGGGGCAGAGAGGGAGACACAGAACCCGAATCAGGCTTCAGGCTCAGAGCTGTCAGCTCGGAGCCCAGTGTGGAGCTCGAACTTACAAACTGAGATCATGACCTGAGCTGAAGTTGGATGCTTAACCGAATGAGCTACTCACGCATCTCTGTTTTCATTTTTTAAAGTTTACTTTTATTTATTTTGAGAGAGAGAGAGAGAGAGCAAGCAGAGGAGGGACAGAGAGAGAGGGAGACAGAATCCCAGGTAGGTGGACTCAAACTCATGAACTGTGAGATCATGACCTGAGCTGAAGTCAGATGCTTAACCAACTGAGCTACTGAGGCATCCCTGTCAAAATCTTGAAGAAATAGGGGCACCTGGGTGGCTCAGTCGGTTAAACGTCTGACTTCAGCTCAGGTCATGATCTCACAGTTCGTGGGTTCAAGACCTGTGTTGGACTCTGTGCTGACAGCTAGCTCAGAGCCTGGAGCCTGTTTTGGATTCTGTGTCTCCCTCTCTCTCTGACCCTCCCCTGCTCATGCTGTCTCTTTCTCTTTCAGAAATAAATAAAAAACACTTAAAAACATTTTTTAAAATCTTGAAGAAATAACCAAAGTTTAATATGTAAAATTGTAATGGCCTTTGTTGTCAATATTGAAACAAAAGTGTGCTTATTTAATTCAACTTGCTGAATATAAACTTTTAACTTAAAAATCTGTTCTGCTAGCTTTATTTGTAATAGCCTAAAACTTGAAACAATCCAAATGTCCACCAACAGGTGGATAGATATCTATATGTATATATATCTGTATCTATAGTATATATCAAGAAAAGGAATGAAGTAATGTTACACATCACACAGGTGGATTTCAATATAATTATGTTGAGTGAAAGAAGCCAGACACAAAACAGAATATATGCTGTATGTTTACATTTATATCAAACTTTTATCAAGAAAATGCAAACTACTCTATAGTGACACTAACTGTAGTGATAGAAAGCACATCACTGGCTGCCTGGAAGGAGAGAGAATGTGGGAAGGTGGGGAGTGTTTCAAAGAGTTATTTCTTGGTTAAATTTTGCCAGATACTGCTTTCCCCCAAACTGCTAATGAAGTGTTTACCCTAAATTAAGTTACTGGTCTCAATAAGTCTGAAACTGAAAGCTAGTTTCATTCTTCTATTCTTCTATTGTATTAAAAGACTATTCTTTTAATCTACCCACATCAGTATTAAAAACATTGAAATAACAGAAATTATGTAAAAATAAGTTTCTGCAAAGCCCTTTGTGTTTTAATACTACCTCATTAAAGGTATAAAATTTGTGTTATTCTACCCTCTACCTTGAGTTTAATGATAAAATATTGTCATAAATCTTTAAAATGCAAGTCTTGCATGTATTTTCTTGTCTTTATGGTCTGACATACGATAAACTAAACAACATAGTTTGTATCTCAGCTGAGTTCAAAATAATGTAGTCTATATATAATGATATATCGATATATAGTAAATATTTATAAATATCTTGCCTTCTGTATGCTCTAAAACCAAATGGCATATCATATAGCCTCTTCAAATTTAACAAAGTGACTCATATTACTACTCCAGGATAGTTAGGGACACGTGTAACTATATAGATATTAATAATTTATTGAGCACATCTTTGCTCATGAAATTCACCTAATAATGTTCTTGCCCACAGATAGAATCAAAGACGGATCCAACACACACATAGCCAAACTGCAAGAGTTATGGAAAGCTCCTCAAATTCAAACAATTAACATCCCTAAATCAATGGCAGATGCGTCTTTTCTAAAGGTATGGTAACTAGATACCAATGCTTTATTTAAATACCAAATTCTTTGTATTCAGAGCTGAACTTTTTATTGAAGATCTACTGCTTAGAGCGTAAGGCATTTCAGAAGACAAGGTACACCCAGCATATTGTCTAGGACTCTGTAAACATCTGAGTAAACTCATGAATGTATGCAAGGATTTTATCATTATAGATTCCTTATTATAAGAGTTCATTCAAGCCTTCATGATACTTGACATCTAATGTACCTTTACTCACGAAGCTCAGTGGCCCTCAGGAAAGTTACATTCCAGAGATGGAAACCCAGACTCCTAGATTTCACTGAAGGACTGCAAAATTAGAGGCAAGCTAATAAAGAAAATGGCAATAAGCATTTTACAACTGTTGAACCTCTATTACCTATTAAAGGTCGTAACTGCCAGATGTGTCCTTGTTAGAGGAAAGCAAATTAAGGTTACAAAAGATCTGTGCAAACTGGTCAGTTTTTCTGACCAGCATTCTGAGTTTTCATTGGATTTATTACCTGTTCAGTTCAGTAAAAGCTGTGTGTGTATACACATATACATATACAGTGGAGCCTTGCATGTTAAGTGAGTGTTACCATCTAAAATCAGCAAGTGAAAATCTTAAGTCAAAATTACTTTCATCAAAGACCAATGGACTATTCCTTACTCTGTTTAACACAGACAGTTATTTTTCTGGGGCTAGAAAAGACTATTTCTTTAGTTAACACTAAGTAGAGTAGTTGAGATAACCACATGATAACCTCAAAAATCCTTGGAAGGCAAGATACCCACATTCACTGAGAGGCACACAGGAACTAAGACTCACTGACAGAACAGCCAATCTCTACTCTTCTTATTTTTCTAGGGCACTGGTTCTCAAACCTCATTGGGCATATGAATCACTTGAGTGGAAACAGTAGGCAGAGTCACTTGTACTGTTTAAATGGCCATTTCGTTCTCTTTTTGGCTAAATTAGCATAGTTTAATTGGAGGAAGTAAAACATACAGATGGTACAGCTCTCCTGAACATTCATCCTTTCAGATAAAGAATATTGCCAGCCTCTGTTCTACAATGCTTATACACCTTGTTTGTATTTTAGCAGCCAGACCTCACCTTAGGCCAGAAGCGTTATCTGTGCAGCATTGCTAAGATCTATAATGCGAACTACCTGCGGATATTAATGAAGAAGCAGTATATGCACGTGATCCAGCGCAGCTCACAAAAGCCAGGCAGGTGCATCTCATTCGTTTCTCACTAGGTCTCACATGAAACAAGAGGGTCTTCTAACAGAGCTGATCTGTATGACAGGTATCCTCACTCATCACAGGAGCCGCCTCGGTACTCCTTACTCACAGAAGCAGCATTACCCCTGCACTACATGGCGACACCAGTTGGAGAGAGTGGATGCGGCGGCGCCTTCTAACATTGCAGCTGCACCTGCACCTGAAATGATCCTACAACATTCGCTCTGGCGACCAGTGAGAAACAAAGAAGGGTCTGTTTCTTATTGTTTAAAAGGAGGAAAATATATCCCAATTTTCTTTGAAGGATAGCTAAATGAGATTACAGCTTGTTTCCTAATATGTTCATTTTGCTACCTTCAGAGTAGGTTAAAGCACAAAGGAATGTTATCTTATGGTCTCTTTACTGCTCTGACTGGAATATGCCACTCCTTTTAGAACACAGTTTGTGGAATTGTAAAAATTTCTTGATCAGCTAGAGATATGGAAGACTGCCCTTTTTAGTAATTCCCACTCAAATTCAAAATAATACAAACACTTCCAAAAGGAGCATATGGTTGCTTCTGCACAGGGGAATACTATAAACAAAGAAGGAAAGAAGAAAAAAAGAGAGTAAGAAGCCTGATTACTCAACCTGCACTATAATAGTAAGCTTTGCATTTCAGGGTTAATAAGTCACGGGAGAATTCAGAGATTGAAAGAGTCTTTTTGCTGGCAGCTTAATAAAAAGAATTTGTATGATCTTCTATATGCATTAGACAGTTGTTCATTTCACTGGCTCCAGTTAAGATACTTCTCTTTCTTACAGTTTGAAAACTGGATATGCATCCAAAACAAGATGTAAGTCACTGAAAATTTTTAGAAAACCAGGCAGACTGTTCATGCAATCAGGTAAATGTGGATTTTTTTAAATGTTTATTTGAGAGAGAGGGAGAGAGAGAAGGAACATGAACAGGGGAGGGGGAGAGAGAGGGAGACAGAACTTCAGCAGGCTCCAGGCTGAGTGGTCAGCACAGAGCCTGACATGGGGCTCAAACTCACAGACCATGAGATCATGACCTGAGCCAAAGTCGGATGCTCAACTGACTGAGCCACCCAGGTGCCCCTTGCCATCTTTTTTTTGTTACACACAGAATTTTAAAATAGCATTTTTAAAGATCTTATGTTTAAAAAATATATTTTTTAAATGTTTATTTTTGAGAGGGAGAGTGTGCAGTGGAGGGACAGAGAATCTGAAGCAGGCTCTGTACCGACAGCAGAGAGCCAGATGCAGGGCTTGAGCTCATGAACCAGACAAAGATGACCTGAGCCGAAGTCGGATGCTCAACCAATTTAGCAACCCAGGTGCCCCATGCTTAAAAAATAACCCAACATAGTTTCATTTCTATTACAGAAGACATTAAAAAATTTAGAATATGATTTAATTCTCCAAATAAGATAAATACGAAATATAGTTTGTTTTTATCTAAATGAACACACTGCTCAGGGGAGTAAAGTTTAAGGCACTTCTAAATCTAAACAAAGGTATTTATAATATCAGGGTAAGAGACTTAAAAGAGAATGAATTTCTGAGAACTCAGAGCCACAAACATGACTTTTTTTAAGCCATAGCACTTAAAAAAAATTTAGTGTTTATTTCTGAAAGAGAGAGAGAGTGCGAGTAGGGGAGGGGCAGAGAGAGAAGGAGACACGGAATCCGAAGCAGGCTCCAGGCTATGAGCTGTCAGCAAAGAGCCCAAGGTGGGGCTCAAACTCACAAACTGTGAGATCATGACCTGGGCTGAAGTTAGACACTTAACCAACTGAACAACCCAAGCGCCCCAAGCCATAGCACTTTTATGAGATAGTGCTATTTTTGGATGGACAACATATTTTGTATAGCATCATAGTTTACAAAGGGCTTTATCATCTATATCATTTTGTTTAATATTCAACAACCCAGTGGAAGCAAGCCAACCAAGTGTTATTATCAAAATTTTACAGGGCAGCTCAGACAAATCCAGATTTGGTAAGGATCAGCATAAAGGATCTATCCCAAGTACAGAATATAACAAAATGAAAAAGGCAAAAGAGGAAGAAAGAATGCTCATAAGTATTCCTCAGAATTGATAAATTGGAGAGGACTAAGTGGAAGTTAAACAATTTCCTAGTTGCTACACAATGAGTAGAGAAGTGGGTAGGAAGGAAGTGGGAAAGTTAGGCCTTCTGAACTCCTGGCCCCTTGCTGTATGACAGTGCTGCTCAGCTCTGCTGTAAATACCATAGTATGCCTGTCCAAGAAATGAGGGAAAAGGCAGGGGGAAAAAGTGGCTCCAGAAAGAATAGCTAGAGGAACTGCAATGGGGGAAAGTGTCTGCGGTCACCAAGGGAAGGGAGATGAGCAAGAACTTAAGGCATACTGAGATGAGAATGCTGAAGCCATAACTTTCCTGTAACCAAGAGATTGTGAAAGCAAAGAGAAAATAGAACTCAGTAACCGAGAATATGCTATACATAACGTGGCTTGAATACAGTACTTACTGGGGTATCTTATTTTAAAAAGAGATTTGGGGGAAGGGAGAAGTGATTAAGTTTTGAAAATTGCAGGCCATTTATTTCTGTGAAAGGCTTATTACTAAGGTAGGCCATTTTGAAGGTTGTCCTTATGTACAAATCTCAATATTCAGGATGAAATACAACTTTATTTCCAAAACAGACATTATAAACCTGTTTTCCTTTCAGTTTCTACAAATGATTCTGAATCGTACATGAATGAAGAAAAAAAGGAAGAAGATTTACTAAATAAGTGCATGCAATCAATGTCAATTGAAGAACAAGGAGAACATGTGATGTTAACTTGACAATCTTGTGAGTCAATGAGGTGCCTAAGGTGGGGGGCTGGGGTTGTGAATTGTGTCCTCTCTCTACATTTAGGATAGTATTGTTATTCAACAGTAAGTCATTAAGTAATTTTAGTTTGTTCAGAAACTTTTACAGCAGTGTAACTGGTTTGATGTAGTTCCATGTACTAATGATACTTGTGTAATAAAATTTATGTGTAATATTTGCTTGTATTTCTAGCTAGATACAATTAAAACTTTTCTTGTCACTTAAAATTGAATTATTTTTCTTTAACCCTGACAAATAAATTGTATCATTCTTTTTCTGCTTACAATAAATTCTAAAACAGCAACATTAGAATTCCCTACAAATTATTTTCTTGACTGGGCTAAGAAAAGCCCTGAAATATCCTGATACAGAACAGCATTTAATAGACATAACACCCTGACTTGCAAGGAAGATGCTTAATAAATATTTGCTACTTGAAAACACTTAAAAATAGAAATATTGATTTGCCCTATTTTATGAAAATTGCCAAGCACTTGGCCTCTCAAGCTAGAGTAAGTTGGGAGTGATTGTACTAATGAGAGGATTCTTTATATATCACTCTAGTGTGCTTCCAGAATTTCTAAACATTAGTGTTTAAAAAAATACGTATACACATATACATATAAACAACACACAGTTAAAATTTGAAAAATAGGAATAGGGCAATTTAAAGCAACAGTTTGAGGAATTATTGCTGATTTAATATGTCAATATAGTATATTCTTTGGAAAATAAAATCTGAGCCCAACATTATATTATGAGCCAGAACGTTGTAAGAAATGAGAACACCCTGAAAGCTCACTCCATCTACCTCATCACTTTAATGCTTAGGTGCATTTAGTTTTCTTTTCTTTTTTATTTAAAAATTTAACTTAAAAAAATGTTTATTTCTGAGAGAGAGCAGAGAAGAGGCAGAAAAATGAAGACTGAGGATCTAAAGCAGGTTCCTCACTGACAGCAGGGAGCCCGATGCGGGGCTCAAACCCACAAACTCCAAGATCATGACCTGAGCCAAAGTTGGATGCTTAGCCGAATGAGCCACCCACACAACCCTTTTATTTCTTTTTAATGTTTATTTATTTTGAGAGAGAGAGTGCAGGTACAGGGGAGAGGCAGAGAGAAAATCCCAAGCAGGCTCTGCCCTGTCAGCACAGATCTCACAAACTATGAGATCATGACCTGAGCCAAAATTAAGAGTTGGATGCTTAACTAAGCCAGCCAGTCACCCCTTTTATGATTTTTAAAAATTAAAACAAGTTTATCAAGAAAGTATAAATGAAAGGTTAACTGTTTATTACTGAAGAGAAAAATGTATACAAGAAAGTCTAGATTCTTTTTCCTCATGCACTACTGTTGTAATAAAGTTCCAAATATCAACTTTCAAGATATTTACAAGGATAAATTTTTCTTAACACATGACCATTTACTGGGTGGTGGACATTTTTCATATAAATCATATGGAAATGGAATATATTCTTATAGTTTATGAGAAGCTTGAAACACTATTAACAGAAGATGATATATTTTACTGCAAAATATTATAAAAGTGATACAATTCTGTGGCTCATAAATGTTTAATTACTTGATTTAACAGGGAATGAAAAAAAGACAGCAAGATAGGCCTGGCTTTTAAGATTTTTTGTATTCAATTCGCTCTACTTTCACATCATCTCCAATTAGCTGATACACATACGTGACAACTGTAGAAGCCTGGATATCCATCAACACAAATGAAGGAATAATGTTTCTGAAAGAAAATATAAATAATGTCAGTGTTTTGTACTAAAAACCACCAGCACTAAAAATTTCAATTTACAACGACAACTTGGATTCAGGGAGAGTTTTGGTTGTTACAAATTGAAAAGAATAATCACCCAAAGAAGACTGCCAAAAAGGCTATCACTGAAATGGTTGCACTTCTCCTTTATGAAACGTGACACATGCAATTGTTAACTTAAAAAAAATCCCCAAATTCCTACTCACGTTTCCAAGGCATTATATGCTCCAGTGGCAGAACCTGGGTTAATGTAAAATTTATTTTCATGCTCAAATGCTTCAAATTTGTGTGTGTGTCCCGAGATAAGAATGTCCACATCAAACTGCCTCTGCAACAGGGCTAAGCTGGCCATGTCTCCCCATGGAATAACTTGATGCCCATGGATCAAACCAATTTTGAACTGCCCAACAGTCACAACTTTCTGTTCTGGATAATTCAGATTCTAAAATAAGAAACAAGACATGAAAACACACATATATATTTCAGAGATACTGATTAAAAAACAACCTGCTTAAACATTGAATCCCATATGGATGTTTTGATACAGTGCTCCACAACCAATACATTTATTAAAAATATTTGTTTTAATGTTTATTTATTTATTTTTGAGAGAGAGCGCACAACCAGGAAAGGGGCAGAGAGAAGGAGACTCAGAGTCTGAAGCAGGCTCCAGACTCTGTCAGCACAGAGCCTGATGCGGGGCTCGAACTCACGAACTATGAGATCATGACCTGAGCCTAAGTTGGACACTTAACAGACTGAGCCACCCAGGTTTCCCCATTTATTAAATATTTGATTTCTCCTCAGTCTCTAAGGCTACAACTATACTCAAAACATAACTTACTCCAGGTAAACTGGAATTTATCATACAATCCCTTTCTTGTGTTTACCCTTTTTGTAGAAGATGGGTTCTTTAGGGCATGCTGTGGAGAATAATTATTCTTTCAAATTTGTGAGTTTTCTCTACCTAAGGATTCTAGGCATATAACGTATAAACAAGGTGTGTTCAAATTATATCCCAGGCCTTGATAATTATATAGATGGTTTCAAATAATAATGATAGTACACTTATTCAGCACTTAGTATGAAGCAGGCACTATTCCAAGGGCTTTATAAACATCAGCCTCTTTAATACTTAGAAGCAATCCTAAAAGGTAGCTTCTATTATGACTCCTATTTATAGATGAGGAAACTGAGGCACATAAGTTAAAATAACTTGTGCAAGGTCACACCTTAGTAAATGGTTGAGCCAAGATCTAAACCCTGGTAGTATGGCTCCAGGGTCTGAATTTAGCAAATCAGAAGCAAAAAATTTTAATTCTTGCTACTGAAACTGACTTTAGCCTAACACAAACAGAACCCCAAATATGTTTTAAACAAACCAAACCTATATTCTTTTTTAAAAAACTTTTTTTTTTATCATTTATTTATTTTTGAGATACAGGCCATAAGTGGGGGAGGGGCAGAGAGAGAATGAGACACAGAATCCCAAGCAGGCTCCAGGCTCGAGCTGTCCACAACAGAACCCAACGAGGGCCTCGAACTCACAAACAGTGAGATCATGACCTAAGCTGAAGTTGGATGCTCAATCGACTGAGCCACCCAGGCACCCCATACCAAACCTATATTCTAATTATTGACAAGAAGTCTGCCCCTTCCTTCTCATCTCCCTGTCTTTTGCTTCCAAGTGAAAGGTTACCCAAACTCTTTTTTAAATTTAATTTTTTAATTGTTTTAAATTTACTTTTTTTTTTCAAATTGAAGAAACTCAGTAGAGCATGAGATTTCTTTTTTTTTTTATTAAATTTTTTTTTATGTTTTTATTTATTTCTAGGAGAGAGAGAGAGACAGCGTGAGCAGGGGAGGGGCAGAGAGAGAGGGAGTCACGGACTGAAACAGGCTCCAGGCTCCGAGCTGGCAGTCAGCACAGAGCCCGACGCAGGGCTCGAACCCACGAACCAAGAGATCATGACCTAAGCGAAAGTCGGACGCTTAACCGACTAAGCCACCCAGGCGCCCCTTAAGTTTATTTACTTTGAGAGAGAGGGGAGAGACCACCTACACAGGAGGGAGAGGAAGAGAGAGAGAGAGAGAGAGAGCGAGAGAGAGAGAGAGAGAGAGAGAGGGAGAATCCCAAGCAGGCTCTACACTGTCAGTGCAGAGCCTGATATCGGGCTCAAATTCATGAACCACACCATCATGACATGAGCCAAAACCAAGAGTCAGATGCTAAACTGACTGAGCCACCCAGGCACCCCTGAACTCATTTTTTTTTTTTTTAATGTTTTATTTATTTCTTAGAGAGAGAGAGAGACAGTGTGAGCAGGGCAGGGTCAGAGAGAGAGGGAGACACAGAATCCGAAGGAGGCTCCAGGCTCTGAGCTAGCTGTCAGCACAGAGCCCGACGCAGGGCTCGAACCCATGAACCGTGAGATCATGACCTGAGCCAAAGCGGGACGCTTAACCGACTGAGCCACCCAGGTGCCCCAAACTCTTTTTTTAAATCCACTAAAAAAAGAAAGAGACACTATACTTATTCAGTTTAGTATAAAAGAACCCCCATTAAACAGCACCAATTAAGTTCAATAATTTATGAAAAAACTTATATTCCCAGAAATAAAAGGCAATTATTTACAGTAGAATCTGACTTATCATGCTAAATCATACAGTGTTAGCATGAGTAGGGGCCTTAAAAATCATCCATTCCAATCATATTTACATAAGAGGAAACTAAGGCCAGAAAGAGTATATAATTTGCCTAAAATCTCATTATTAACTAATGGGCATAGCTGGAATTCCAGAACTTCTAACTTTTTAAAGTCAGGTTTAATGAGGTATAATTCACATACAGCAAAATTAGTACAATTTTTTTTTTAGTGTATAATTTTTTTTTTTTAGTGTACAATTCAGGGTTGTGACAAATGCATATAGTCACGTAAGCTCTGCCACAATCAAACACAGAATAGTTCTATAACTCCTCCAAACTTACTCATGCCCCTTTATAATTAACCCTGGAATTAGGGAGCCACAGCAGGGTTTTCAGCAGAGTGGTGATGTGATCTTAATTCACCTAAAAAGGATCATACTGGTAGCTACCTGGAGAACAAACTGTGGACGGAGGATGGGTAGAATGAGAAAGCTGGAATACAGGAGTGATATATATGGTGGCTTGGAAAAGGGTAGTAGAGGGGGTAGCGAGAAGTTTGTAATAAAAACTTTACAGGGCACCCTGGGTGGCTCCGTTGGTTAAGCATCCGACTTCAGCTTAGGTCATGATTTCACAGTTTGTGAGTTAGAGCTCATCGGGCTCTATGCTGACAGCTCAGAGCCTGGAGCCTGCTTCAGATCCTGTGTCTTTCCCCGCCTCTCTCTCTGCCCCTCCTCTGCTCACGCTCTGTCTCTCAAAAATAATAAACATTAAAAAAATTTCTTAAACTTTATAAACTAAAT